ATCTCAATAAATGACGCGACGGCAGCATTAATCGGTGAAATTTATAATAGAATTGATACTAGGAAACCCACGGCATGTGTTTTCTTAGATCTTGCCAAGGCCTTTGACACTGTGGATCATACACAGCTGTTAGAGGCCTTGGAAGAAGTTGGTGTGAGGGGACCAACACTAGCATTACTTAAAAATTATTTAAAAGATCGAAAACAAGCTGTAAAAATCATTCAGGGCCCTTATTATTCTCCTTATATATAAATGGGTTACTAACCCAAAAATTTGCAGGAACCATTTACAGTTTCGCTGATGACACTGCAATACTATACTCGTCTGATTCGTGGCTTCACCTAAAAACAGAAATGGAGCTAGATCTTGCAAAAATCTTCGATTGGTTTAATCATAAGTTATTAACGATCAACTTCGAGAAAACTTTTTATGTTCCTTTTGCTAGCTATGGAAACCACCTACCTAACTTTAACACTCTCAGTATAGGTGACGACGTCGTAATACATCAAGCAACTCATTTAAAATATCTAGGTATTATCATCGATTCTCATTGAATCTATAACTAAAACAATTAGACTGTTAATCTACAAATTTAAATGTTTAAGTAAAATACTTACTTTAAACTAGTTAAAAATTTTGTACCATGCACTAGTAGATTCACGCCTACAGTATTGCATACTCAGTTGGGGTGCTTGCTCATATACATACTTAAATAAACTTCATGTCCTACTAAAAAAAATTCTAAAAATAATCTACAAAAAACCAATTTTATACTCCACAGATTTACTATTTAAAGAAAGTCACGTATTTGACCCAAGAAAACTGTACCTCTACAATCTTCTAATGGAGCGCGGTGAGGGTCTGGACGACGGGAGGGTATGGACACTTCAAAATTTCCTGGTCATAATACACGTGCATTATCTGTGTAGCGTCAAAACATTTGATTTTTAGTCGAGTTAGTACTCGACTAGACGCCGTACGAATCACATTTCGCGTTTGACTTTAATAAACATTTTTTGATTTGGGAGTGTTGGGACCTATTATTTGTGTGCAAGAATATAAAGAATATTTTGATTCCAGCTTGTTATTAATTATTTATTTTGTGGCCACACCTTAAGGTAAGTCTATAGGTCATATTGATATATTGTTCATATTTGATTTAATAAACATTTTGTAATACAAATAATTTTTTGTCAATGTGTTCTTGAGGGAGGGTCAGGACAGTTGTCCAGACCGTCCCGTATGTGTCCAGAGGGTCCCACTTCTATCAATGGTAATGTGTTATTTTTCAGAAACATGCCTAGGAAGTACCGAAGGGTGACAGACAGATCTTTTCCTGCGGAAAATATGAAAAATGCCACAGAAGATGTTTTGTTGGGACGACTGTCTGTAAGACAGAGTGCAATTCAACATAATGTTCGAAAATCAACTTTAGCAGTTTATGTTAAGAAAAGCAGGGAAAGCGGAATAGAAAATGTAAAATTTTCTCCACAATATGTAACAACACAAGTGTTTTCAGATGAGTTAGAATCCGCAATGGCTAATTACCTTAGAAATTGCTCAAACATGTACCATGGCTTAACGCCTAAATCTACGAGACGGTTAGCTTACGAGTTTGCTAAAAAAAATAAAGTCAAAACCCCACCTGCATGGGAAAAAAATCATCAGGCTGGACGAGATTGGTTTACTGGCTTTTTATCCCGCCAGCCTAATTTATCTTTAAGAACGCCGGAAGCAACCAGTTTAACTAGAATATCAAGCTTCAATCCAACCACTGTAGGTGACTTTCAGAACAAATTAGAATCTGTTTTAAAACGACACCAGTTTTTGGCATCTGATATTTATAATTTGGATGAAACTGGTGTTACTACAGTCCAGAAAGTACAAAAGATAATTGCGACAAAAGGGCAGCACCAAGTGGGTCAAGTTACCTCTCGGGAGAGGGGCGAGTTAGTAACACAAGTTGAAATCATTGCAGCAAACGGTACAACTCTGCCGCCAGTCTGGATATTCCCCCGAAAAAAATACGACCCACATAGAATGTTAAAAAATGTTCCTGCAGAATACGGTGCCATAAGCTTGGTGCATCAGAGCGGATGGATGACAAGTGACAATTTTCTTAAAGTTTTAGAACATTTTGTTAAACACGTTCGATGTTCTGCTGAACATAATGTCGTTCTTATCATGGATAATCACGAATCGCACCTGTCAGTCGCTGGGATAGATTACTGTAAAGAAAATGGAATAATAATTTTAACGTTGCCTCCCCACACGTCTGATCATTTACAACCTTTAGATAAAGCAGTATTCGGACCTTTTATGCGTTTCTTTAATCAGGGAGCTGACGAGTGGATGCTTTCTCATCCTGGACAAACCCTATCAATATACGACCTTCCAGCAATATGTTGTAAAGCATGGGACAGAGGTGCCACTCCAAGTAATATTAAATCTGGCTTTAGATGTACAGGGATATGGCCATTTGACAAGAACATATTTACTGAACAAGATTTCCTATGTTCTTATGTAACTGATAGACCTGTATCTACATCGGAACCAGAAAAATCGGCATCCAATGACATACCAGTTACGAATTTGTCACCAAAAGCTGCTTCCTCCGAAGAAGTTGAAGCTGAAGCTTTGTTATATCCAAAAGCGGGTCCATCTACTGCACCAGACGACGAAAGTTATGTTTCACCTTCAAAAATTTTGTCATATCCAAAAGCACCCCAAAGGAAGTCCCCTACTGTGGCTAATAGAGGTCCTTTCCAAAAAAAATCAATCATTGCTACAGACCCACTGGAACGAGATAATATTGCAAAAAAGAAAATGAAGATAACAAAGCCAAAGATTGATAAAAATAAAGTAAAACAGGTTAAGAAAAAGGTGTTTGTAGAATCATCTTCTTCAAGTGACGAAGAATTAAGTTATCAGGACTCATCCTCTGAATTGGAACCAGAGATTGAAGAAGAATCTGAAAACACTGAGAATCTTGAGGTCGGACATTTTCTAATTTGCAAAGTTTATGGTAAAAAGTCTGTAAGACAATTTGTAGCCAGAGTAGAAGAAGTAGTGTTTGGAGGCTACAATGTAAAGTTTTTAAAAAAACAGCTTCTAACAGATTTAAATATTCCGAAGAGCCTACATCTTTCGTTCCGTTTAATGATATTGTAGTGCAGCTGCCAAATCCTATAGCTGATAAGAGCTCTAGATACAAAGACATGATTTATTTTAATCGGGATTTAACAGAATACAGTCTTTTTTAATAATATTAATCTGGATTTAACAATACAAATTTTTAAATTTTGATTTAATTGATTTTTTTTTTTACTTAAACTTGATTTAATATTTTTTACTGTTTCAAATATGTTCGAATGCTCAGAATTATTTATTTTTTGTATTATTCTATATTACCTTCCTAAGTTACTCATTATTGGTATGATTTTAATACAAATATAATGCTTATTTAGTACTGATATTATTAATTTATTTATGTCCATACAGTCCCCACCAGTGGGTAGGGTCTGGACACTCTGCATATAACCACTAAATGGGTTACTATATGTTTTAATATGATTGAATTTATTTGATTAATGCCTTAATTGTACAATACTAATGTATCAATTTATTAATGGGTCAATTCGTTTACTAAACACAATTTTAAAATTTTTAGATAAATTAAAAAAAAGTGTCCAGACCCTCACCGCGCTCCCCTACCAATAAGCACAAACAAATATTAAAAAACATAGAGCACAGCTATGACACAAGACAAAAATCAAATAAATTAGTAATCACTAATTACGCCAATAAATCAATAGGCCAAATGTGCTATACATACCTCTCCTTAAAAACTTTTAATAATCTACCAGAATTCTACAAAACTCTTTTAGTAACCTTAAACAATTTTAATTTATTTAAAAAATACTTCAAATCCTTCATATTTCAATTAGATAGTTATATGGTTCGCGATTTTATTGACATGTCTGATATACAAACGCGCTTTTATATTGATTAAATTTATTAAGTTTTGTCTTCTTAATTTCCTTTTTATTTCTCTTTATAACTATGCAAGATAATTGTACATTTATACTGCATTTAAGTTTGTACTATATTTAAGTTCATACATTATTTAAGTTTATACTACAGCACTAACAGCCATCCCCATACAACCATTATGGTTTCTACGGGATAATTGTTTATTTCATTAAACTTTAAAAAAAAATTTTACTTTTCTTTTCGAAAGTCTGGAAACAAATTCAGTCACTGGCCAACACTAATATCGATTCACTTTTCTTTATGAAATTCCAGAAACAAATGAGTAACGAGTATCCTTGACATTCGTATTTATATTGGCGAAGAATCAAACACGTTTATGCAAGATTGCAAGCACATACACCACAAGTCGTATTAATTTGCACGTCTGAACAAGCGTTGCGGACGGAACGGCGGCCGGTGCGGCAACGACAAGTCTCGACGCGTTTTACTGAATATGGAATATTCAAGTTTTTACAAGTAATAGTCGCTGAGCTTCTTAAAATATTATCTGCCTATATTGATAAGAGAAGTCAAGTCAACATTTTAGTAACTAAAATGTTGACTGTTTATATTATAAACAGTTGAAGATTTTTGCAAGAATTTCTTCATCACATGGAAAAATGAGTAATCAATTGTTTAATAGTATATTGCTTTACTATCGAAACCAAATTAATTTTCATGTACCCCCGCTTACGATTGTGGACCCCCATTTTTTATTACGCCCAACGTAGACCCCGTCGAGTCTCCCGTGGATCCCTGAGGTCCACCTGGACCATTTTGGGAAATCCTGATCTAGACACAATAAGTTGAAACAAAGTAACCTTCATAATAAAGCGAAAAATAGTGAATTATAATACATTATATATTTAATTTTCACTGTCAAGGCAACGTTTGATCGATAATAGGTAAAAATATTTCGTGTATTCATCGTTAACTGTTAGTTTTAACAAATAATTAATAATAATGGGCCTAAAACAGGTAAGTTGGTAATTTGTATCATCAATATTTGAAATTTTTAATGCCAACTTTTAAAAATTCACTATTTAATTTATTATTAGAAGATATTATTTTGATTGGTTGGTTGGTTTGTCTTCACCTTCGCCAGATTATTTATAACATGCTTTATTTATCTTGTCAGTCTGGCATTACACAGTTTTTTTTAATATCAAACATAAATAGTTATTATCGAAACTGTAACAAATATGACAGAATCACAAACGGGAAATATGGGTACCGAAAAAATGGACGAAGCACCAGAAGAAGATAAGAAAAAGGTTACTCACGCCCCAAAAAAATCGGAATCTATGTATATTTCAGGTTAGTATAGTTATTATTAATTAAAAATCTTTCTGTTGTATATATAAGCACAAGTTAGCCTTATTTTCAAACACTGCAGACCTAAGCTCATCATTGTATCATTAGATGATACTGTTAGAGACAAAATGTAAGATTTTACTTTAGAAATTTGGATCTGACCAGATCTGGCAAAAGCGCAGATGTCATTACCACATCTTAAACAAATTTATATGGGACCACCCGTGAGGTATAGTTCTTCCATTATCAATTGCAGATCATAAAAACTCGTTCGGAACCTTTACCGACAATTTTGTTTGATCTGCCATAGGCGTAGATACCTACCTCATTTTATAAATTTATTTTATTAATACTTTTAATATATATCATATGCAAGAAAGTATTCGTTAAAAGGAAATCGAATAATTATAAATTGGACGTTATTATACGCCCTTATTTAGACAGATGCACTTAATTGTAATCTTACTTGGACTTAAAAAAAATCATTATAGCTCGTTAACTTGCTACAACTGAATATTATATTATAAAACGTAAAAAAGCGACTAAAGTGTACCTGCCTGTAAGGGCGTTTGGTTTAAACAGGGTACCAGACGTGAACTGAACCCTTTTTGTACCCCATTCGTTCTTTTTCTGGAAAACGAAATTTCAAAGAAAAAACCATAAAGGAAAATAAATTATTTGCAAATAAAACAAAAGAAAAAAAAGCAATTCAATTCTAAAGTATCTTTATAAATAATCATGCCAGTCTGAATCCTCTGAACTAGAGCCATCATTTGGTTGAATTATGATGGGTTGTAAAGAGGGTAATACTACATACTCATCTTCTTCTTTGATAACATGTTCAACACAGTTTTTCCAAAGCTCTTGGCGGTCTGCTGCTAGAACTTTCTTTACGAGTTCTACAACTTCTTTACTCAGTTCTGGAGACTGATTACATTTTCGTAATTCTGATTTTAAGTGTGCCAATATTAACTTTATAGGGTTAAATATGCAATAGTAAGGAGGTAGTCTGAGAAGAGTTTGCACAGCTTGTCAATATAATACATTTTTTCTAACTTTATACCTTTAATAACAGTAAGCAATTCTTTATTTGTTGGTCCTTTTTTACTATCACTGGCAGGAATAGGAATATTTTTTTCAGACATAAAAGCTAAAATTTAAGCTTTTTTACTGCTAGTATTTGGTATTTTAAGGAGTTGCCGCGAGTGGTAGAATGCGTTGTTCATAACGATTACTGACTGTGGTGGAATGTAAGGTAAAAGCTGTTCATTAAACCGTTTTTCAAATAATTCTGCTGTCATATCTTCATGATAATCAGCTGCACAGTTTTTAATTTGTTTAGCAGATAATAATAAAAAAGCATTAGGCACGAAACCGTCTTTGCTTCCAGCGTGTACTATTATAATGTGTTTCCCTTTAAAACATGGCCCATTCAAACAGCAATTTTTACTACTTCCAACCCAACCGAAATTTACTACATCGTGACTGTCAAACCATGTTTCATCTAGATAAATTATGTGTCTATTAGAACTTCTGTAGCCTTTTATCTGACGCAAATAATCTTGTCGCCATTGAACTATCCTTGACGATTCGGTGATTGCCATCTGTTTATTCAATTTTTTATGTTTAAAACCACATGCTGACAAAACTTGACGCAATGTTTCCAAACTGGTATAAGTGTATCCTGGAAAATCTGCCACCTTTTGCTGTATTACTTCCAATGTCGGAACCCTGTTCTCCTTATATAAACTATAAATTGTCCTTCGTATAAAATCTTGGGTAGCTCTGTCAACTGATTTCAGTTTTTCTTTACATGTTTTTCGGTTTTATGAATAATCCACAGCAACCCCTTTCGTGACTACCGGATAAAAGGAAAATTTATTTACTTTAGTTAATTCAGCAATTGTTATTATGAACGCATTATCAGACTGCTGAATATTTTCCTTTTTTAAACATTCGAATATATTTAAAATAACTTGTTGTGTTTGTATATCTAAATCCTTATCGTTAAAGTCATACCTGTCTTTAATCTCACTACACTGTGCAATTTCATTTTCTTTATTCGCCCATGGTCTAAAGAACGTCATATTTATATTTATTAAAAGAAATTTAAATTAAACCAACCACACATACAAAATACACCGCACGACAGTACTCCACTGATATCGCAGACTGTCTTCCAAGAATATTTTCGAACACCTGCCTTCCGTAAACCTTCGGCCAATACAGTGCATTTAAGTTTACGATTCGATGTTTTCATTGGTAAACAACTGATTGTTCGTTTAATATTTACCGCTTTGTATAAGGGGAGTAAACATTATTTTTCGTTTCTTAATTTGGCATGAGTACCGTGCGTATATATTAAATATTGATGATTCCCCACATAACTGTGTTTTTCAATTGATAATGGAAGGACTATACCCCTTGACTAACAACAAAAAGAATCATAGAAAGCAGACAAGGTGGTAAAGAATTATCGCTAAATATACATAAAAAATGAAGAGTTTGAGGATTTTCTCATGGACCCAATTATTAAATTTTGACCAAATTTATATGGGACCACTCCTGAAGTACCCCCTTTTTAACAAAAAAAGAATCATTGAAATCGGACACCGGGTTAAAAAATTATCGCTAAACATACATAAAAAAATATACCGACGAATTGAGAACCTCCTCCTTTTTTGAAGTCGGTTAAAAATATAGTAGTATAGACCATTTCAGCGATAATGGCGTATATGTCATCGCTAACGTACGAAATAAGTAAACAGAAAGCATGATCAGTGATGACGCCAGATGTACATAAAATAGAGATTTGAACTCGAGTCTTCCGTATGGAAGGCAAGAACTGTGACCACAGGACCATCTACGCGTTTATTTTGTTTGCTTTAATACTTTAATAATTTAAATTGAATTCATATAGTTTTATTTAAATTAACAAATTATTTATAATTATAGACGAAATAAAAATATAAATTCTATTATTTATCTATTCTACACAAGAATAACTCATTTTAATGAATGTTTAATCTCAATAACTAAAAAATATACTGACAATTAGTTCGACAAAATTGTCACTTATTTAAAATGTTAAACATAATAGCAATTGGTTGATCAAAATATGAACTGTGATTGGTGGATTTAATGTTTTTGCAGTGTTCTCACTACCTAGAATGGATATGAAATATATTCGTTCAGTTGAAGACAATAGCACACTTTTTCGTTTTGTAATCTATGCGTAGATAAGCTAATATCCATGTAGGTGTAGAAAAATTAAATTAAATACCTACTTTTATAATATACATGGAACACTATAATCTAAGGTACGAACGTACTATACTCTGTTTTTAAACTAAGAGGAGCGATTTGAATTTAAGTTGGCAATTCTGTAGACTTCTAATTGGTCAGATTGAAGTCAGTTTCACACATCACTTTTTAGCTACTGTTGACAGGGGTTGACAGTTCTATTTTCGATTCTGACATTTTATAATTTAAATTTTGTTATTGCTTTGATATCTCATCATTATTACTTAGTTTTTTATTTTATTTCTTTAATAACAGTTCTTTTCAAAACTTTATTAAGCAATTGTATTGAATTTCTACGATTATGGATCCTTCTACATCGAATACTATTATAACCGTTCCTCGCGGAGTCCATCAAAACAACGAAAACGAATGAGTTTAGGCTATTCGTATCTCAGAAAAGCAGTAAATAATAAATATGTACAAATAGGTATTGGATCCATCAAACAATATAGAAAATAAAACAGACCAAGCTTCTACTTTGATGAAGATCATAATAAGGTTTATCAACAGGCTGAAAAGCCAAAAGCAGGTGCCCTAATATACGTGCTAATTCTGAAGGTTTTGTAGAAAATGCATTTACCTTGACGAGACGAAATCCAAAGTATTTTAGAATTGGTTTTCTACATTTTTACAAAGTTTTCTAATTATGCTATGATTGTCATGTAAAATGTATCATATCATAGTCGAAAAGTTGAAAAAATTCATTTGTCATCAAGAAAATCTGACGGGAATGGTAACAAAACTAAAAATATTAAATTTATTTAAATATGAAGTGATATCAACTTTTACACCTAATTTGGCAACATAAAGATGCACATAATTTGAATGTTGTCAATGCAAAGGCTAAAGAAACCAATAAAGTTGTGTAGTGGCTGCCCCATATCACTGCGAGTTAAATCCCATAGAATTGATAGAGGCACAAATAAATCAGGTGTCAGCTAAAAACAACGAATCTTCTGATGTAGATTAACATATTGAGTACTTAGTGTTTTTTGTTTCTGATTCAATGTAAATGTCAAGATGTACTTTGTCTTTTCACTTATTATGTTGTATAGGCACCTCTTATGTATTTTTGTTTTATTTTTCAAACTTTTATTATTAATTAAAATATAACAAATTTACAAAATAAAGATACTACTATTCATATGTTGTTTTTCTAACCCAAATTAAAAAAAAATTACAAAACTACAGTGTAGTATACAAAAATTACAACTGCTCTCATTTTTATTGTAAAATTGTTGTATCTTACACACATTTAAGCGCCAGTCTGTATTTAACTTAAAAATTTTTGTTCTGCAAGGTATAAGTGGTAAGAGTAGATTTGAGCAGCCGTTTTAGAGAAATCTGGATTTATAAAAAAGGCGTCCTTTAAATTTTACAATAAAAATGGGAGCAGCTTTAAATAGTTTACCCGGTAAATATTGCTTTTTTGGTGTTCTACTTAAAAAAAAATACAACTTTATTACTAATTTTTTTTTAAACTAAAAATTAATGAATTTCTAATCAAAATGATTAAAATATAACTAAATATTAAAGTAAATTTTATTTATTTGAAAATAAACCATTTACAAAATTGGTAATTAACATTTAAAACTACAAAATATTTTGGATATATTTAAAAGTGCTATTGTCATCTGAATATGTCCATAATTTGTGGCCTCCAAAACTTTCATTATTTAACCTAAAACAAATACCTTGTT